AAACACAAATCACAAAAGCTCTTCTTTTCGGGCTGTCTCGACATCATTGAAGCATTAGTACATGAACATTTGCAATGCAAAAATACACTCACGAAGATAACTTAATTCTGCATGCTGCACCGGTCTGACAATTGAGGAGTAATGCATGGCCTCTGATGCTAGGAAACAAAAATTAGTAGTCATCATCCCTTTTTAGGGGGGGGGAAATATGTGCAACAGGTGGCACGAAAGATGGCATGGTCTACAATGTTTGCATCATTCCCAACGCTTTCCTGATTCATTCAAATTGCCTGAAAATTACGCACTTGGGTAGGTAGCCAGACGGATACACTTACCTTACGTTCCTCCAATTCTCAGAGATTGATTATCAGATAGACGTTGACTGCTTTCAATTTTTATTTCATAAGAGTACTCTTCACCACTTTTAAGCCTTCAAGCGCATTTACGAGCTGCTTTCGCTTTTTCTCGTCACCTGAGAAAAAGAAAAAGGTCTCTGACCAAGTACACGACTCTACCGCGACCCGATCTAGATATGATATGAGACTTAAGGAATGCGAATCCCTGAGGAAGTGCCAATCTAATTGTCATGTAGTGACATTTAGGAGCCTTCTTGCACGTATAGGATGGAAGTATAAATGTTCCAGGCGCATTTTAACGGTTGCCTCAGGCATAGTCAGTCATGAGGCCACCTACAATGAGAATATGCAGGGTGTACATTCGCAACTTCTCCTCATTTGGATGTATCGAGGTTAACAACAATGAAATATAAGTACGACATTTCCCAAAGGTAAATAGGAGGAGTGGGCTACATCCCTAGCTAGCACCAAGGTTCTTTTCTTTTCTTTTTCTATTTTCTCCGGTCATACAGTATCGCATCCAGGTATTTGGTGCTCAACTATGCTGCCCCCTCCATATCCAACAGTGTCGACGTCAACTTATCCCAGCGTAAAGTCTCGTACCTACCACCCGCCAAAGGCAAATGGAAAGGAACGATCGTTACAAACTGTCCGGCTTGGCTACCACCCAAATCCGCTTTTTTTGGGGCTCCTCGGCGTTTCTGTACGAACAGCTGCCGTCCTGGCCCATACCATGTGTCACGCCACCGTCACAACCAAGGCTTTGCCATCTATTCGACACAAAATGTAATTATGCATTGTGTACGCACAAAAAGAGCTCACGTTTCGTAGTGTCATAAGCGGTGCATAGAAGGATAGGATGTACATATGATTTAGCGGTCAAGTTGAAAATAAGCACACGGTCTTCTGAAA